TTAGACGAAGGGTTCTAACCCTTAGAGGAGTGACGTTCTGGAACGGTCTTCCAAGGGAAGTAGTGGGGGCAAAAGATCTATCTGGTTTCAAGATTAAACTAGATGGGTTTATGAAGGGGATGGTTTGATGAGATAACATGATCTTGGTAACTAATTGACCATTCATTATCAGTGGGAAATAGGTCAATGGAGGGATGATAGGAGTTACTATAGAGAACTTTTTGGGTGTCTGGCTGATGAGTCTTGCCCACATGCTCAGGGTTTAGCTGATCGCCATATTTGGGGTCGGGAAGGAATTTTCCTCCAGGGTAGATTGGCAGAGGCCCTGGAGGTTTTTCGCCTTGCTCTGTAGCATGGGGTACAGATCACAGCTGGAGGATTCTCTGCATCTTGGGGTCTTCAAAGTATTTGAAGGCTTCAATATCTGAGATATAGGTGAGAGGATTATTCTAGGAGGGGTGGGTGAGATTTTGTGGCCTGCACTGTGCAGGGGGTCAGACTAGATGATCATAATGGTCCCTTCTGACCTTAAAGTCTATGAGTCTATAAATTAGAACAGCCCTTTGGCACCTGTTAGGGAGTCTGAACCTTTGATTCTCCATCAGGCCTTGCTGCAAACACAGCCAGTCCACTCCAGAGGGTCTAGCTGCTTCATAGTTGAGTGGGTTTTTCCCTAGCTTTGTTACAAGGTGATTCTTATCTCCAAGTACTATGCCCTTTGTGTCTGATGTGCTTATTTTGTGTTTTTCTAATAGAATACAAATTCGCTGACCTAGTGAGAAATGGAACTTTGTGCAAGAGACTTTTGTTGGGGGACAAAAGGGTTGGAATCCTTTCTCTAAGGTCATGGAGCACTCACTCAGTATAATTCCATAACACTTGAGCGGTAGCAGTGTTACAGATATGGTGCTTCTTTCTTTGTGTCTGATGTGCTTATTTTGTGTTTTTCTAATAGAATACAAATTCGCTGACCTAGTGAGAAATGGAACTTTGTGCAAGAGACTTTTGTTGGGGGACAAAAGGGTTGGAATCCTTTCTCTAAGGTCATGGAGCACTCACTCAGTATAATTCCATAACACTTGAGCGGTAGCAGTGTTACAGATATGGTGCTTCTTTCAGCAGGGTTTAGTCACTGGATTCCCTGGCCACGATCCTGGCACCTCCTTGACCTGCCTCCCAAAGAGCAGCATCGATCAAGTCCAAGTATTAATGGAGTAATGCTCCGTGCCATTCAAGGAGACCTCTGTGTGCATGGCTTACCTTTTGTGTATAGACAAATCTTACCAATTCCATATCCTCCTTTGAGCTCCTGTAGAGGAATAACAGTTGGCTCATGGGTATTATTGTTTAATTATTCTATTTGTGGCTTGTATTCCCTTATCACCATCAACAGGATTTCTTCCAGGCTGTGGGAAAAATGAATAACAATGTGACCTCCCTCTTAGCCTCTGCCCATAAAGTCACCAACAAAGAAAAAGCTATTCAAGAGGTTACAGTATTACAGGAGAGATTTGAAAAGCTGTTAAGAAGAGCTAAAGAGAAACAAACCTTACTAGAGACTCTCCTAGCACAATGGCAGCGGTGAGTAACCTACTCTTCTCTATTTTGACAAATAGAGATTTTTCTGCAAATTGTACAAGAGATCATGGGATGCTTGAATCAATAATGATCTGTGCCATGCTTTTGTTAGGCAGGAGAAGGAACTATCTATCTTCCTGACCTGGTTAGAGAGGTGTGAAACTGCAGCCCGACCTCCAGAGCAGTATGTTTCCACTGACAGAGTCAAACTTGAAACTGAACTACAGTCAATACAGGTAAATTTTAGGATTGAAAGTTAGCCTAGAAGTGGCCCTGTTTTTATGGATTGGCTTTTCCATAATTTTGTACAAATGAAACTGCTCTTTTGCCCTCTGACTAGAGATGAATTATAGGGCTTCTCTCAACTGAAAGCACTTACATTATTTATTTATGTATTTATTAATTATCATAGTGCCTAGGAGCCCCACTCATAGATTCAGTGCGAGGTACTGTACAAACACAGAAAATAGAAGAGTATTTATCAAAGTGCAGGCAAAATTGAAGGAGGGAGTTGAAGGAAACATTTTATTTTGCAATTAGTATATGTTGTTTCCTGGGGGTGAGTGCCATAGCATACCCTATGACCTACCAGGGACTGAAGGGCTTAGAGTGATTGCCACAGGATCCTTCAGAACTGCAGGGCAGTATTTTCTATAGGTCACACACTTGTGTATTTTTTCATGTATGAGAAGACTTTTCAGAGACCTAATATCGTGCAGGAATTTTGCATTCAGAATAGAAGTGGTGATTTTGCAGCACTTCTACTGGTTTTTTTCAGTGTAAAATTTCATCCCGTTCTAAGGCACTTTCCTCTCATGAACAAATGCTGCTTGTTGTAGTAGTCTAATGGGAAACATTTGAGGGAAAAGCAACTCTCTTTTTACAAGTCAGATGAAGACACATTTCATTTCAGCACTGAAAAGAATGGAGAGATTTTTCTATGCTCAGGCCAAAGTGTGACTTTTATCCCCACACAGCTGTAGCACTGGTGGCAAATTCTGGGCTAAATATTGCTGCCATTACCGATGTGTGAGCACTCACTCTCCCAAGCAATTTCATTCTCTACTTGTTTGAATAAGAGCTCACGAACATGAAAAAGGACTGCAAAGCCTGGGCCTTCAAAAGGTACCAAGCACTTTCAGAGTGTCTAGATGTCCTCAAAATCCTGAACTGTTCTAAGGATTTGGCCTGATCTGACCCTTGAGTCAGAGGAATGTGTTGGAGGTCCCCAGCTGACACCAGGCTAACATGTCTACTTGCATAGTATGATGCTATATTTACCCTAAAACATGCAATCTACTGTTCCCCAGGATTTGCAAGCTGATATTGCATCTCATGCTTCACTGTATACCAGCCTATTACAGTTAAATGAGTCACTGTTCACAACAGCTTCCAAAGAAAGTATGAAAGCAATGCAACAAGAGTTTGAAGAGCTGGATGGGAGATGGAAAGCTTTACCACAGACTGCTAGCAAGAGGTGTGTGTTTCAGGGTGTTTCTAGCATGGTGTACATTCGTAAAAATAGTAATCAACAATGCAGATGAAGAATGCTTGCCTCAGTCTCAGCTTTACATTGTAACACTGGAAATGTTAGGCATTATGGGCAATATGCTAGTAAAAAAGGTGAGTATGGGAATCCAACAGATCCAGCATGCTGGCCTTGTGGCATCATTCTTCCCTAAGCAGTGTTTAGGATATTTATGCCAGGAGGAGGGTGGGGCAAGTTGTGGAGGCAGTATTGTCCCCACACAAATATCATAGAACTTCCTTGAATAAGTTTACACTGTCATTAGCTTACCCCACTTCCCCGCTCGGTATGATTGAACCTTGCTTTTGTGGTAGGGCCTAGGTCTAGCAGTTGGTGTAGGTGCCCTTACCATCTGATCTCTGCAAGAACCATGCTGATAGAATCTGTGAGCCAGCGTCCACTCTGATATTCTTATTTCCATGGATCCCTCAAGATACATGTGGATCTCAATATTCCCTGATTTTGGAGCCTAAACATTTCACTTGTTCATAGAAAATGCCAACTTTCTAAAGGGAAATATGTATGGAATTCCATACGGGAAATCTCGCTTCATTTCTTGTCCCCCTTTAGTCTTCTCTTACATAGGAAATGCTTTAGCATTTTTTTCTTCCAATTTAGTGTGTAATGGCTTAATCCTGAGTACTCCTGTGAAAGTATGGGCATCTTTCTGGATTGCTCAGAACTTTTCAGGATGGAGCCCAAAGTGCATTTGCTTGAAATCACTTTAAACAGAATTCAGAAGGGATTCTGTTTCAGCAAAAATGATGAGGAGTCCTGTGGCAACTTAAAGACTATACACTACTAATAAATTTGTAAGTATTTAAAATGCCAAAGGACTACTCATTGTTTAAATAGAATTGTTATGTCTGAACATTTTCAGGTTTAAGACCCCTATCCTCCACCCTTTTCTCCCATGAGGTTTTTTTTTTTCTTCCTTTCTTTTTGCTAGTTTCCCCTGGAATGTATTTTAATACTGTCTAGTCAGTCATGGTTTTGATTAATCAAAGTGCCTCTCTCAAACTGAAAAGTTAACATTTCATTTTTGTACTTGATATCATATAGGATCGGTTTCCTTCAGTCTCTTGTTGCTGAACATGGGGAGTTTGATGAACTGCTGCTCAGTTTTTCAGAATGGATTAACCAGTTTCTTGGTGAATTGCATGCCACTTCTGAGATAAACACAGCTGATCAGCACCCAGCTGTATGCCACAATAAGGTAATCTTTCCAGTTGAAATATTCAAAAATATAAAGGAAAGCAGCCTATGCACATTGAATGCCAAAGACTATGTAGCTAAAACTATGATGAAGCTGCTTAACCTGTTGGAAATTTGATTGTCCATATTACACAATTCACTTTTTTGATCGGGTTAATCCAAATCAGGAATTCATCATTGTTGCTGCTGGGTTCTATTTAGCAATAATTGTATTGATTAGCTTACTTTCTTTTATCAAGACTTCTCTCTGAACCTTTCTATGGAAAATCAGTTTGTTTCCTTTTTTTTCTCACAGGACCACTCTAAGAAAGTGGAAAGCAAAAAACAGGAATTACAAAGTCTGAAAGACCATGAAGAGAAACTGTGTTCTTTTAGTCATCCAGAGGATCGCCACATGCTACAAGGAAAGGTTGAAGACTGCTTTCAGCTCTTCCAGGAAGCCAGTCAAATAACTAGCCGAAGACAAGAGGCTCTCAGTCAGCTTGGGGTCTTTCTAGAGTTACATGCAGCTGCATCAAGTGTGCTCCATCACCTGAGACAGACAGTAGAGACCACTGGGAACATGGATAAGGTTAAATCAGAACTGTTGGAGAAAGAACTCAGGGATGTTGTTCAAGACATTAACAAATTAGCATCTTCTGCAATCAGTTTGGATGGAGCCCTTATGAAAGCCCAATATCATCTAAGACATGGAGGCTCTGAGCAGAGGACATCTTGTAGGGCTGTGGCTGATAATCTGTGCTTAGAACTAGAGTCAGTCCAAAATATGCTAGGAGCCAAGCAGAGCGAAGCAGAAGCACTTAAAGCCCTGCAGAAGTCTTTCATGGAACGCAAAGAACAATTGTTAAAGAGCATTGAAGATATTGAGGAAAGAGCTGACAAAGAAGGATTGAAGGAGCCAACACTTCAGGCACTACAGCAAAGGTGAAAACAAAAACTCAGGAAGCACTTGATTGTTGGTGCTTTTTATGTATGTATGGTTGTATTCCATAGTATGGGTTGTTTTAATGACTTAGAAAAAGCTATAATCATTTTATACTTTGGGCTAAATTCATGCCTGGGAGATCTAGGCCTTCTGGGGTAGAAAGTCTGCAAAGGAAAAGGTTGCATTGGTGCAAGTAACATATAATCTGTGAAGCCATCCAGCATAGTTCCAAAAGTGAATAGTCTGGTAGAGAAGGCCTATCTGGAACACTTGACAGATGCTCTGTTTCAGCACATCCCTCAGGTCTCTTTCTCTGGAAAAGCAGATGGTGAAATCCCTGCAGCTGAAAGTTGCTTTATACGGAGAGAGACTCCATACTGTAAAGTGGCAATACAAGAACTGCTAGCCCTTTCTTGGGGCACATCCATCTCCATTAGCACAGATGCCGCAGATTGCATATGCACACGTTATCAGGGCATGCAGACAGCCTATTATCTGCAACATGTTGTCAGATTATAAAGGAGGCTGATGTTAAATAATTTTATAATACCTTTTATATAATATTTCCAAGTACACTTTGTGTGGGAAGTGAGGAGAGGGGGCGTATGAATGTTTATAGAGACACAAAGGACTAGATTCTGATCTTAGTTTCAACAGCATCAATCCAGTGTATCTTTGTCTTCAGTAGTGTTGCTGCAGATTCACAGTTACATCTAAAGCCAAACATTGACTTTCAGACGTATTTTAGAAACAATTCCTCCCTTTCTTGCTCTTATTGCATTATCAGTGAAGCCACAGAGTAAATGTGTAGCCACTCTCTTAATTTGTAGATTAAAGATCTTTAACCAACTAGAGGATGAACTGAATTCTCATGAGCATGAACTGCAGTGGTTGATGGACAAAGCAAAACAAATGGCTCAGAAGGATATAACATTAGCGCCTGAAATTGATAAAGATATAAATTGCTTGGAAGCAACTTGGGAGGACACCAAAAAATTAATCCATGAAAAGTAAGTAGATTTTTTTATATAATTAAAAAGAGAGAAAAGGAGTGTATTTTTTGCCTCATCAACACCAACACTCAATAATATAACCTAGCAATCATATACCGTTTAATATTTTAAACACACTCTATAAACATGATTTAATTAATATTAATCCATATTCATTATGTGCTCTTTTGTGCATTTATGAACTTAACCTGTCTCTTGACAGATAAAAAAATCTCCATTAAGAGTACATAATTACTATGTAATTTGAATTTTCTTAATTCTTAATGCATGCTACCTCTGCAACATGCTAATCTTCTACTGGCTTGAAAACTCCTCCTGAGCTAATGTGTCCAATATGTAGCATGGCTGTGTAGGCAGTCAGCCCAATTCAAGATTTTTTCAAGTAAAATCATGACTCATGATATTGGTTAAATTATACTCAGTAACACATATGGGGTCTTTCTGTCCATATAAGTATATTCTCTTGATATAGATTTATTTAATTTTATCCTTTTCTTAATTGCATTTGCATTCATTTGAAAAGAAAATTAATATTCTTCAATTTTTTTTTGTTAGAACACTTGTTTTTTGTTGTTGAAGTAAGTGCATTTGTTGTTGTTGAAGTAAGTAGGCTCTTTCAAACATGACTTAGAGGGATATTATAGCATAGCTCTAGCTCCTTAGTACTGACAACCTTCAAATATTTATATACATGTTGGCACTTAGCCAGGCTATGTGTATTTCACTGTTATAGATTTCATCCTTTGCCATTCCCTTTATCACTGTCCCCACGGATGTTACGTTCACTCTAGCTTCCCAATAGTGATCTGGCAATGCAGTTCTGAAGAAAGAAGAGGAGGAGGAAGACTATATTTACCAGACTTTTATTCCAGTTCTGTCAAAGTCACTACCTGCTCCTCATCTTTATGTGCTTCAAAGATGTGGATAAGGCAGCAGCAACTCAATTTGAATGGGGGGGGGGGGATGGGAGGCAGGGAGAGATGAATAGTGAGACCCAAGAACACAAAGCATTGTACTAAACCTGAGGAGTGGGAGGAAGCTGCGTGTCAGGGGAAGGTGGGATGGCTGCTCAACCTGAGGAGTGGGAAGAGTCAAAGACAGTGGAGGAGGTTGGGGTGTCAGTGGGAGAGGGTGGGTGCTCTCTGTGAGGAGAAGGGATAGTTACAAAGACTTGGGGTCCTTAGAGGGGGCGGCCAGCTCCAACTGGGAGGGAGGGTTCTGGAGCTTTGCCTCTCTCTCTCTCTCTCTCTCTCTTGCCAGAGACAGCTGCTCCCAGTCGTCCTAGTTCCTGGCTGGTCCTGCTGCAACAGCCTGACTGGGTCCTACTCTCAGCTCTACTGCCAGCAGCCATGGAGCCCCACCCAGCCTCAGTATACACAACAACTCTCTTTAGAATGGCATGCAGTGATCAAAATATAGATCTGAACCCAAAGTATTCCCATTGTGGGGGCACTAGTCCCAATGCTTCCTCCCCCAATTCTTCCAGTCGTGACTATTTTACTGACAGAGGCCAGGCATCAGCACAGAGCAAGTGAACATACCATACATATATAAAGCCCTGACTACAGGTTCAATAATAATTATAACAGCATCCACATATTCAAAGCCATGAATAGACAATACTTAACTAATTCACATAATCAAAGCTCGACAAATCCATTTATCTACTCGCCCGTGGTGAGTAGATTTCATCCAGTCGCCCCATTCACCGGCGGTGTGCGCACGCGCAACGTGGGTCTGGCGCATGCGTAGTGCGGGGCTGGCGAGTGGATTTTGCTGCGGTTTGTCGAGCCCTGAATATAATATTCCTTCATGGAAGTATATTTATCCCTGTTTTACATATGGGGAAATTGAGTCAGAACAGCAACATGCCCTAGCCCAGGATACACAACACAGCAAGTCAGTGGTAGAGCTAAGAATAAAATATGCCATTTCCAGAGTTTATGTAACTATATAGGGTTATTTAGCTTCCTTGAACTCATTCAACTTCAGCACCATGGAAAAAAAATGTGGTGGCTAATGTGCTAGACAGGGACTGGGGAGATGTGACTTGAATTTTCTGTTGTATCAGACTTCCTTTATAATATTAGGAAGTCATTTAGTCACTGAGTGCCTGAGCTTCCCACCTGTGCAATGGGGATAATAGCACTTCCCTATCTCACAGGAGTGTTCAGGATGAATACAATAAAGATTATGAGTTGCTCAGCTACGATGTTAATGAAAACCATACAAGTATCTGAAAGTCCATTGCAATAGGGAGTCTTTTCTGACCTGAAGAAATGTAATTTTAACTCTTGGGCTGCATCTAGACTGGCATGATTTTGCGCAAATACTTTTAACTTAAAAGTTTTTCCGTTAAAAGTATTTGCGCAAGAGAGCATCTATACTGGCATGTGCCTTTGCGCAAAAGATTTGCTTTTGCGCAAAAGCATCCGTGCCAGTGTAGACGCTCTCTTGCGCAAGAAAGCTCCGATGGCCATTTTAGCCATCGGGCTTTCTAGCTCAAGAAATTAACTTGGCTGTCTATACTGGCCCTCCTGCGCAAGAATACTTGCGCAAGAGGGCTTATCCCTGAGCGGGAGCGTCAGAGTATTTGCGCAAGAACCACCGATTTTGTACAGTACAAAGTCAGTGTTCTTGCGCAAATACTCGTGACCAGTGTAGACAGGCGGCAATATTTTGCGCAAAAGCAATTGCTTTTGCGCAAAATCTTGCCAGTCTAGACGCAGCCTTGATTTTTATCTGATGTGATTGTTTTCCTCTATACCAGTGGGATCTCGCTGTGCATGATTATTTCACAGGTATGCTTCTGAGAAGGAGGAGAACTCAGAAGTGACCATCTTTCACACTTGGCCAGCTTTGGCTTTCACATTCCTTTTGTCAATGGAACACTGTTTATAACAAAGTAAATTATATACAGGAAATTTGGGCTTCCTGTTCTGTCTGACTCCTCCTCTGGAAGAACTTGAATTGATTGAAAACTACTGTTGAATCTGAAGATCCCTGTCTAGGCAGGGAAATAAAAAACATACACACACACACATAAGATCTGGCTCCAACAGGAAACTGTTCCCATTTCCAAGTGAATGGTCTCAAGCCAAGAGGATTTCAATGGTATTTTAAAATTAAGAAAGGAAATATTTTGACTGAAATTTCAGTGAGTCCAGACACATTTCCCTCTTCTTCAGCCTTCATTTCTACTTTTTTCTTTTAACCAAGAAGGTTGAAATCCTAAACAGAATTCAATTTAGTTGATAGTAGAGGTGGAAATTGCACTATTGGAAGCCAGCTAAATCTCACTGTTATTTCAAACAGCATAGTCCAGGAAGTAAATCACTGGATTGAAAATCAAGTAACCTGGCTTGTACTACCAGCTCTGACCTTCTGTGTAGCCTTTGCACAGATACCCCACCTGTACAATGGGAGTTAGGGCCCCTTTCCTTGTAAGGCTTTGAGATTGATGAATCAAGAGTGGTTTATAAGTGATAAGAATGAGTGAGTACATAACCACACAGATCATGCTGCTTTAACATTCTAGCCTGATTCCTCTGGCCCACTACACGGAAGTTCTCCCTGTGTTACATCCCCTGGCTTCACAGATGTCAGAATGAACATCATTCTTTCAACACAGCAATTTTTCATTACAGACAGGAACAGTGCTGTGTCCTCATTGATTTGATGAAAGACTATCAGGGTTTGAAATCAGCAGTAACAAAAGTGATAGAGAATGCTGACCATGTGACTATGACCAAATCCAGTTTAAAGGATCAGGAGGATATCAGAAGGGCTTTATCAAAGGTAATTAAAATATTTTCATTTAAAAAATAACTGAATGGATCTTTGGTTTAATCAAATTTGCTGAATTATTTTGTTTTATATTTGAAGAGAGGCTTGTCTGGCCCTTGTTAGAAGTTCTTTGCATTACTGTAAATCTCCTTTGACACACTGCACATTTTGCAGGAAAACCTGTCAATTTGCATGCCTCTGCATTTCTGGTATTTTAAGTATATTTTACATTCCATTAGTGGTTTTAAAGGTACATTTGTATACAAGGAGAAGCTGTGCGTAATTAGTGAAGTTGGATATGCTATTCAAAGGCACGGAGGAAGAAGATGCCTGTTAACATGTTTGTAATGATTTGCCTTAATAACCTCTTAGCTAATTTTTGTTCAGCTGAAAACAGAATGAAAGGACAAGCTGATAACTGAACTTTGGTCTCTTCCATGACAATGTAAGGCATTGATATTACATTTCCCAATTCTGCTTGCCTGAGCTCAATCTTGAGAGTAAGCTCTGTAGTAAACTTCCCCCATTAATTAGAAAGCGTTAATTTTGATTGAAAAACCTGTAATGGGCATATTGCAAGACTCTTGTTAATATCAGCAGTCAGAACCATAAAACACATAGTACTAAAACACACCTCTTTGTGAGCTATGTTTTATAAAAATCATAACATCTGGAATTATAATTCAGATTATCATTCTGTTGAAGCGAAGAGTTCTGAATTATAACAGTAAAAACTGTTACAGATAACATAGCAACCCCTGAATTATAAGGGTGCCTCTACACTGCACTGTTATTTTAAGATAACTAGTATTATTTCAAAATAACTGTGAGCGTCTACAAAGACATTCCATAATTTTGAAATAATTGACAGCTTATTCCGAATTCTGTAAAACTCATTCTATGAGGAATAACGCCTATTCTAAAATAACTATTTTGAAATAAGGTGTGCATAGACGGTCCATTGCTGCTATTTTGAAATAGCCCCTCACCAGGGCCATTCTAACTTTTTCCTCCCCAGTGCTTCCTGGGGCTCTAAATAGAGATAGCACACCTGCATTAGGGAAGCCCTAACCTACGTCCACACTGCACGGCTATTTCAAAATAACTATTCCAGAATAGCTTATTTTGAAATAGCTGTTCAGTGTGGGTGTACACCAGCTGAAAAAACCTAAAAAACAACAAACGGTCCTGCAGCACCTTAACGACTAACAAAAAATGTATACGGTATCATGAGCTTTCATGGGCACAACCCACCTCTTCAGATGAATGGAGGAAGGGGTCTAGAGGTACAAATGAATAGTAGAAAAAGATGAGATGGGGAGGGAAAGGGAAGGAAAGAAAATCTTGTTAATTAGAGTGTCTGTGATAAATGAGGCTAACAAAGTGAACTGTAAGTGCTTGGTACTTAGCTTTTGATGTTATTAGGGTATTGAATGCAGAAGCCCATCCAGTTCATGTCGTTGTTCAAACCTTGATTAAAGGTGTCAGATTTACAAATGAAGGCGAGATCCATTAATGACTGCCTGGGCAAGTTAAAATGTTCCCCAACAGGTTTCTGTGGGTTACCATTTTGAATGTTTGATTTGTGTCCATTAACACTTTGTTGTAGAGACTGTCCAGTCTGGCCAACATACATGGCAAAGAAGCATTGCTGGCGCATGATCATGTATATCACATTAGTGGATATGCAGTTGTATGAGCCTCTGATGTGGTGGTGGCTTATTTGTTTAGGTCCTGTGATGATGTTTCTTGTATAGATGTGTGACTAGTCATCCTCTACTAGAGCCCCCAATTTAAACCCCTCCAGAACATCATTTACAATCTACAATCTATCCTGGAAAATGATCCCTCACTCTCACAGGCCTTGGGGGTGGGCCAATCCTCACCTAGGGTATGTCTACACTAGCTTGTTAGTTCGAGCTAGGTAGGGTAATTAGGGCAACCGGAGTTGCAAATGAAGCCCAGGATTTAAATATCCCAGGCTTCATTTGCATGTTCCCGGGCGCTGCCATTTTTAAATCCCCCTTAGTCCGAACTCCATGCCTGTAGCTACAGGCGACACGGAGTAGGTAGTTCAAATTAGAGATCCTAATTCATGGAATGAGGAGTAACGGTAGTTCGAATTAGGATTTCTAATGAGGCCTGTGAGAGTGAGGGATCATTTTCCAGGCTAGATTGTAGATTGTAAATGATGTTCTGGAGGGGTTTAAATTGGGGGCTCTAGAGGATGACTAGTCACACATCTATACAAGAAACATCATTGTGGAATGAGGAGTAACGGTAGTTCGAATTAGGATTTCTAATGAGGCCTGTGAGAGTGAGGGATCATTTTAAGGGGGATTTAAAAATGGCGGTGCCTGGGAACATGCAAATGAAGCCCGGGATATTTAAATCCCGGGCTTCATTTGCAACTCCGGTTGCCCTAATTATCCTACCTAGCTCAAACTAATGAGCTAGTATAGACATACCTGTACAGACAACCCCCTAACTTAAATAAATTCTTTCCAGCAACCATGCAGCATTGCTCTAATCATACTCATCCAGGAACTCACCCATGCAATAAACTCCGGTGCCAACTCTGTCCACACATCTACATTCAACACCCAAATGACATCAAAAGCTCATTATCAGGCACTTACAGCCTACTCTGTTAGCTCCATTTAGAACTCTAATTGACAAGATTTTTTCCTTTCCCTTTCCCTTTCCCTCCCCATCCCCTCTTTTTCTGCTATTTATTTGTACCTTTGAACACTTGGCAGATGCTCTGTTCCAGCACATCCCTCAGGTCTCTTTCTCTGGAAAAGCAGATGGTGAATTCCCTCTAACTGAAAGTTGTTTTATCCTGAGATAAATATTAATTTTATTTCTGTACGGTTTATTTTGGTGTTGCTGTTAACTTTTTGTAATGTAAGCACTATGAAAATGACCTATTGGCAACACTGGCCAGAAGAAAGTATGTAGCAGTTTGCAAGACCCCGCATATTCCCATACCAGTCTCCATCAATCCTCACTTGCTGCACATTCTGAATGCCCATATGTCTGAGGCTCTCAAAGCACTTTTCAAACATTAGTGAATTATGCTGTATGACTGTTATGTGTTACTGTTCTCCCCAATCTACAGATGGGAAAATGAAGGTTTGGAAAGTTTGTAAATTATCAGCCCAATGTCCTACAGCACCTTTTTTTAGAGTGGGAAAATGACTCAGATCTTGTTATTCACACTCATAGACTTTAGGGCCAGAAGGGGTCATCACAATCATCTACTTTGACCTTCTGCTCATCCCAGTCCACAGAACCTCATCATCCATTCCTGTAATAAGCCCAGAACCTCATATTGCCTAGCCACTCATGCACTTTAACTGTTAGAACATTCATTTCATATTCCACTTATTCCAAGAACTACAGATTGCCTGGTTATTAGTGATATCGACAACTGTTACCAAGGAATTAGAATGTAGCTATCAAACACATTCCATATGCTCAGTGAGTTTAGGTCTCTAGAGGTGGCTAAGGAGGTGGTTTATTTATTTATTTATTTATGACTGCATTAAACAAGCAAACATTTATGTTCACAGCATGAAGCTGTCAAGAGTGAGCTAAATGACAGACAAAAAGAGCTGGATGCCTTCACTAATAAAGGAAAACATTTGTTAGCAGAGCTGAAGAGAATTCATAACTGTGATCCCATGCTGATGAAAACAGATATGAACAGCACTGTGGACAAATGGCTGGATGTAAGAGCAATAAATTATGTTTTCCTTATAGAGTAAATTCAGTTTACAGACTGAGAATAGGTTGCAATGTATGTGCTTCTCTTAGGAACTGCAAATACTTTTTTTTTTAATTAAAGATGACTTCGGAATCTCAGAGGGCTAAGTCATGAGCATTTTGGAAATGGTTTATGCTCAGATAAATATATATCAGGTACACTTACTAGATTTAAAAAACAAATTTTATGAGGAACTGTATGTTTGAATGTAATTTACTATAAATTAAACCAGTTCACGCTTCTGTTTTTGTCTGAAGAATGTGTAAATTTTGGCTAGCCACTATGGCTATGTCTACACAGAAGCGTTATTTCAGAATAACTGATGTTATTCCAAAATAACATAGCCCAGATCTTATACATAAGCAGTTATTTTGACATACTATCGAAATAATGTTGGGCTGGAGGATTGGTTACTCTGACTCCTGTAACCCTCATTGTACGAGGAGTAAGGGAAGTCAAGGGAAGAGTGCTCTTTCTTGAAAAGTTGAAATAAGCTGTTTTAACTTAAGCTGTGCAATTTGCATAGCTCAAGTTGCATAGCTTATTTCGAGTTTAGCCCTGCTGTGTAGACGTGTCCTAGGTGGCCCATAATATACTATAAAATGTAATATTTTAAGATTTAATATCTATAGAACTTTACTTGCAGATTTGTGTATTGTGAAATAGAGACATATCAGTTTTGAAAATTATAGTTTGCTGACTATTCCAAGTAAAAATATATTTTACAAGAACGGTCACTTTCCTTACCTGTTTATTCAGAACATTAGAATAACCTGAGTTGGTTTAGAAGAAAATTTGGTCCTGTGTCATCATTCCCCTCTTTATTTTAAACTTCTCATTGCAGTAGCAGTTGAGTTATAAAATATTCATATTTCAAATCTGGTTTGAAATCCTTCAGAAGATCTTAGTAAATTCCCAAACATGCATGATGAACTGCTCCCTACTTACGTCCAGATTACTTGCAATCCTTATGACTTCGGAAAACTGCAGCCTGTTTTGCTGAGATTGCTAAGTCATTTGAGGTTCAAGCAAAGGTATGATGCCTATTTGGATGGTAAAAATGGAAGCTGGAAAGGCAAGCGTGTGTGTAGGGGAAGTGTATGCAGAGACTTATTCTAAGAGAAGGTTCGTGTTTGGTTTGAATCTTATTTTGGACCCATTTCACCCATAACTATTAATTAACTACTTTTGATGCATCAAAATTGTCGGTGAGGTGATTTTCAATATTGGGTGGAATTCTAGCAATATAGCACATTTTAAAGTCAATGGAAATTTATTCAGCTAATTCCACTTGCAACTCTTTCCTCTGGCAAAGTGTACACATTCATAGGCACTGGAATGTTCTGATTTATATCAACTTTGCAATATATGAATCTAAAACGCAGACAATAAAGTCTCCCTATTCTAAATGGTGTTTCTGTTTGTAAAATTTCAAGACTTGGCGTTAGCTTTTCCAGGTGTTTCTGAGCTACGTTTTTTTGCAACTGGTTCAAATGGAAAGAAATATGAAATTTATTATAAGGGATATTTATGTCTCTACCTCTCGAACAGGTATCAGAGAGGACCGAAGACAATATAGAAAAATTGAGTGTAAGCATGTCTCTATGGGATGAGGTGCTCGCCACAGGAGATGAAATTGACACATGGTGCAGTAATGCCATCTCTCAGTTGAATGAAGGCATCAGCAACCTGAGCAGCAGCCAGAAAATGGAGACCTTTTTGAAGGAATTTCAGGTGTTTACCAAGAAAATGATACAAATGATTGAAATGCATTTATCAGCTGGTTTAAATCAGCATAGCTCAATGCAACAATGCTGGTATACATCAGCCGAGACTCCGTTCTTGTTTTTGTTTTTGTTCAGCTTGCTATCACCAAACATAGCAACCCACGATGGAGAATGTAAATATCTAATAGACACATCCCACCATCTTTTTTAGACTGTTTCTTTCTATCTATTAATACTGAAGTATCTGGGCATTAAACTGCATTTAATCTGTTGTAACCCCACCTCTTTGTATGAGGCTTATCAAAAATTAAGGATGGGATTTTGAGATAGTCAGGATGGGCTGTATTCTAGTCCCAATGGTTATGGGAATTTTACCATTAACTTCAGTGGGAATAGAGTTAGGCCAATGCAGAGCACTTTGAAAAATCCCCATTTAAAATGCGGGTGCTCCTGTAGATACAATAAAGTTGATGTTGTGTGCTGAAGAGTAAGTTAGTGGGCATGATCTGCATTCAGAAGTTATACCAGTTTCAATTAGTGTGTTCAGAAACTAATTCAGTAAAATAAGAGCAAGCTTACTTGTGTGGACACTCTTGTATTGGCTCTCCCCTGTCCCCGCCAGCCTTCTGCACACCAAGGAGACTGTGCTGGGGGGAACCGGCTTTTCAGCAAGCTTCCCCAAGCACTGACTCCCCCTTGCTACCTCTGATACAGAGGCAGAAGTGAGGGGAGCGAGTAGTCAAACCTAGGGTTATTGGGTAGACGATTACTCGACTAGTTGTTTACATCCCTATGCTGAAATTCAAGAGTACTTTATTTCTTTTACACCTTGCATTAAAAATAATTACAGAAGATTCACAGTCATTAATAATATGTTAATGCATTACTTCTACTATTTGCCTAGAATGAGTTGTTGAGTAAGTATTGATTAGTACATTAGACTAGAGAGTCACAGATTCTATTATGTGTAGTATTGGTGCTATGTGACTTTGGTGGTCCATAATTTCACTTCCCAATAATTTTCTAAGAAGTTGGAATATGAGCCAGTAGTTTTAGATGCTAACTCCTAGAAAAGTGAAGCTTTTACGTAGCCATGGTTCTGTGCTCTCTTGCTATGGGCGTTATATGAGAATAATGTTGTCAAAAATATACAGCAGAGCCATTGAAGAATGTGCTTCTTCCACTTCCTCTGAAATTAATGAAAAAAATAGTGATCATCAGTGAAACAGATGAGTTTTCATTAGTAATACAGGTAAATAGTTATGAAATGCTTCAAAGGGAACATATTTCCTTTGATTAAACTAAAACTATGTTCCATTGTGTCCAATTCTCATTAGGACCAGCCAAAAAATTGATGCTAAACAGGCTGGTTTTGTATGAAACCAGACTATGCCCAGACCTCACATGTGCAAGAGATAGACAGCACTCAAGGACTGTACAGGAGTTAAACACAGTCTTTACAATCAGGGAACGCAAGGATTCTTCACAGCTAGAATTTTCTGTATTGGTTTCTGCCAAGATGTGAGGAGGGGTCAGGACAGTAACCCATTCATCCCCTCTATCCTTCTCTGTCTTGACTAGCCAATAGAGGAGGCTCAGCTCAGAGAGAAAACACACACTGCATCTACTTTGCAAATGCAGCAGCATTTGCATATCTTAGGAGCTCTGGAAAGTTTTGTGGCTCCCTGATGCACAATACCTCCTGGAATTTCTCCTGGGGTGATTCTGTAGCACTTTAATGCTACAATTTAGCCCTTAATGTGCCTCTTCTAATCAATTAGATCTGTGTTAATTTAATATTTCATGCTTTTGCAGGAAATAAAATGTTCCTCCAGAATTTTCATTGACATTTATACAGTAAACTGGCACATCAGTGAATAAAAGGCAGCAGGACTACTTCAAGATTTACTTCTGAATGTAACTTTTTTTCAGAGAGCGCAGTTCTCTGTAATATAAAACAGAGGGTTGTGTACATTATACTCTGAATTCCAGTAAGTGGAACTTAATGACCATAGTAAATTTTTCCAGTCTCATAAACAAAGGCATTCCTATTTTTAGTGAGCCACTTTTCAGAGACTCAAGCTGTTAAACATTTTAAACTCTAAAATGGGCTGTGTGTGTGTGTGTGTGTGTGTGTGTGTGTTTAGTGGAGAAGAAAATGTCTGAACTTAATATATAAAAGAAGTGTTTTTGTCAGACTACAAAACCAAGGGATAATAATATTTAATTCTTTCTTTCTTTCTTTCTTTCTTTCTTTCTTTCTTTCTTTCTTTCTTTCTTTCTTTCTTTCTTTCTTTCTTTCTTTCTTTCTTTCTTTCTTTCTTTCTCCTGTCTCAAGTTCCATCCAGCTCTTTAACTAAATAAAGTTTACTATATGCTGTTTTATAGTCTGAAGTTACGAATAAAGGGCAGAAGGTGGACCAGCTTAGTTCAAAAGTTTCAGAGCTCAATGAACTGACCAATAGTCATGAGTCACCTGCAAATCTTCAGGTAAGATATAGCTGTCATTCATCACAATCTGTATTGTTCTGAAATTGTGCTCCTTCTTATTTGGGGGGAACATATTACACTTGCCTTTACTGTGATATTTTTTTTTCTATTGAGATTGAAAGTTCTCAATTAATTACTGATATTGTTTCTGAACAAGAATACTGTAGATTATAGAAACAACAAGGACACAGGGTTTGCAATTTTCTAAGTGCTTTACTACCATCTGAATGTAATAATGCCTTCTTATTTGAAAGTTAGTGTTATAATGGAACATAATTATGTTGGTCTACTTTACAAAACTGCACACTAGATTAGAATAAGTGCATAAAACTAATTATTATTAGAAATTGGCCAAAACAGGAACCTCAAATCCCCATTCTTGCCATTTTGTTTATTTTCGGGGTCTAATTTGAATAAAGACTAATTTTGTTTAATGTCTCAGACATTTAATCTGCAGAGAGGGAGACTAGCTCTTTAATTTTCTCACATTTGGATATTCATTCAGTGTTAATTCTGACTCCACTGAAATAAATGGCAGAACTCCTACTGAGTTCCATGGAACCTATTTTCACCCTCAGTGTATGCCATTTTCCTTTATTTCAAATATTTGTAGCAATGCAGCAAAGAGAAAAATAGGGGGGCACATCCTATTTTACGTCTTTTCCATTTATCATCTCATGTGAGCTGCCCACCAGTTGTAATACCAGAGCCAGAGTGATTCACTGTAGAGCTTTATTATGTAAAATTTTGGTTTTAGTTCCTAGAAGCAGATTTACGGCAAAAACTGGAACATGCCAAAGAAATGTCTGAGACAGCAAAAGAGACACTGGAAGATTTCTGCACTCAGAAGATGCAATTATTAAAGTTTATAGATCATATGACAGATTGGCTTACAGAAGTAGAAGAGACACTATTAAACTCTGCTTGTTATCAGGATCCTAAGTGCCTAAGTAAAGTGAAGGTAAAGTATTGCAGAAGATATACTTTCTAATGCATAGTGGCTCCTGTGTTTAATTCTAGCATAGCTTTACTCTGATCAGATTAAAGTATCTTTTTTATGCTTTGGATATCAATGAAGAACACTCATATTTTTAAAGAAGTGAATGGCATTGCTAATCTTCAATTTTTCTCTTTGTATTGCAAACCTTTTAGAGAAATAAAATGAATAGCGTTCTCTCTTATTGTGACAGGAACTAATGTTGTTTCATCAAACTGGTTTCAGCCATTGCTTTAGAATGTTTGCTATTTGTTTTTTTCCATTCAAATTGTTGTGTATTTGGAATTGATGTAACTAAGCAATTAATAGCTCTGTTAGATCTTAGAATAAAATTAGGCTTTACCCTAGTGTACCTCACTTGCCAACTGCATCACCTCCACTATCTAAACCTTAGATTCTATTTATGCTATACTGTGAAAAACAGTGCGGAGGTTTCCATATTGTAAATAAATGGCCACTCTGATGAAGAAGCCACTCTCAACTTTAGCTTTGATATATATTTAGCTTTGTATGCTGTTTCCCAGAGGGGTGAAAGGCAATGTTAACAATCTTCTCCGTCTCTCCCAGACTCCCAATTCACATTGCTTTCCTAATGTAACCTTTGAACTGGGCAGAAAAAACTGATATAATATTTTTGCTGGAATTTTTCAATTTATCAGAATAAATTTTTTTTTCTAGAAAGGTTAGATTTCTGTATATTTCTGATGGGACACAGGCTGGGGTCCATTGGAACCCTTCCTGCCTGGAAGGTTTTGATCAGAAATGGGGCTGGTTTCGTGCCAGCTTGCCCACTTGACTCCTTAGCAGCTCACTAGACAGGTTGTCTTTGAGTCACAAACCTTAGAGCTTCCAGGTCCACAGCTTTGAGGATTACCCACCAGATGGATGGCTCTGGAACTGGGGCTCCATCTCAATTTATTTAAAATATTTTTTTTAAAGTTATTCCAAAGCAGAATTAAATAAATTTTGAAATATCAAAATCCTCTGGAATTATCTTTTTTTCACACTGCTCTATTATACTGCAAATGAAGCTTCACTTTCTGCTGTGCTTTGGAAAATATACTTAAATAACAATTATGGTGGTGAATGCTGACAAGTGCCATTTTTTGGTGCTGATTAAACATTCTCTAAAGTCCTTCTCAGTTGGGATATGCCAGGAAATTGCATAATCTACTAGCCTGTTCCTCTGTTCCTTCCACAAATTCATTACTGCAGAGTGCTCTTGGTCACTTCAACAAGTGGCTGGATGAAGGGCAGAGGAGCAGGAAAGTTAGAGGAACTAGGCATCTGTTTTGTGTAATTGGGCATGGCACATTGACAATACAATCTTAATCCTGTAGGAAACACAAAAAGAGCTCAAACTCCAACAGAGCAGCATCGATTCGACACGAGAGAACCTCAACAGCTTGTGCCGCAAGTACCACACTGTGGAATTGGAGACTCTGGGTTGCACTGTCACATCACTAATACAGAAGTATGAAGCTGTGACCCATCTGTGTTCCAGAACTCAGGCCAGCATGCAGGACTCCCTGGAGAAACACCTCCTCAGTGAGTCTGTGTGTTTGTTTATATGAGCTGTTAGACCATAGCCATGAATCAGACTGCCCAAGAACAGTGTTGGCAAAAAGTTTCCATTGACATCATTTACAATTATATTCTTGCTCTTGTATAGAGACTTTCGTAAAAGTGCTTTCATCAACTGCTAGTTTCAATGTCTGTTGCAAACTCTAGGGCTATGTCTAGACTGGCATGATTTTCCGCAAATGCTTTTAACGGAAAAGTTTTTCCATTAAAAGCATTTGCGGAAAAGAGCGTCTAGATTGGCACGGACGCTTTTCTGCAAAAGCACTTTTTGCCGAAAAGCGTCCGTGCCAATCTAGACGCGGTTTTGCGCAAGAAAGCCCCAATTGCCATTTTTGCGATTGGGGCTTTTTTGCGCAAAACAATACCGCGTTGTCTACACTGGCCCTCTTGCGCAAATGCTTTTGTGCAAGAGGGCTTTTGCCCGAACAGGAGCAGCATAGCACTTCCGCAATAACACTGACAATCTTACATGAGATCGTCAGTGTTCTTGCGGAAATTCAAGCGGAACTGGCAAGTTTTTCCGCAAAAGCAATTGCTTTTGCAGAAAAACTTGCCAGTCTAGACGCAGCCTAGGGTTTAGAACAGACAGAAAAAACAAAATTAAACCTCATTTAAAACATACAGTTCTCATGACAGGAGTCCCAATTCAGCCTTCTCTGATGAAATCCTTCTGTGTTTCTCATCTTCCCCTTAGGCTATGTCTGCACTGGGAAAGTTTGGTGACAAAAATGCTGTCAACAAACAAAAGTGCCAAAAGTGAAAACCAGTCAAACTGTTTTTTTTCTGCTTCACATTATCAACATTTTATGGCCACGTCGCTAGCACCCTGTCAACAGATAGAGCAAAGCAATGTGGGTTATCATCCACAGTGCTGTGTTGTGGGAAGGCAGAGCTGATCACTGTGCTTTCATAGGGTTCCCTTGTAGCTCTGTGAGCTCTCCAAAAGAATGTCAAAGCAGCACAGCAGTCTCTCCAGCCCTTCCTCTGCAGCAGCAATCTGCCTGCTGCTGTATTCCTAGTGCAGGGCAGAATGGGAGCATTCGAATGATTTGTTTTTTGTTTGTTCCCCAAAGGGAGCAGCACGCTCAGCTGTCAGATACTTCCCGAAGCTTTGAAGGGGGAGGGGTGCATGCCTGCAGGGTAGCAGAGATCACAAAACACTGAGCAGAGCAATCAGGGCAGGCATTGTGGGATACTGGTGGAAGCCAGATCTCTCAACCAAACATACAGCCAAGTACATATTGGCTTTTTTGTCAACAATAAAGGGGAAAAGATAAATGTTTCTCACAAGGGTGGAAGATTTTTCCCCAAACCAGATGTTTTCTCCTGCGCCCACCCCAACCCTCCCCGACAAATGTTGCATTGTAATGTAAATGCTTTCACTGTTTTGTCAATAAAAGGCAGTTTTTGGTGACAAAACATGCCAATGTAGACAATGCCTTCATCCTATTATAATTCCCTTTGTTATAAAACATCTCTTTATAGCACACAAATGCTCTAGGTGGTCTGTCACTAAGGACAGTCTCTTGAGCAAAGGCTAATGAAGTCAGTAAGAGTCTTTCTTTTAGCTCCAACAGGCTTTAAATTAGGCATCTAATGGGTATGTCTACACAGCAAAGTTAATTTGGAATAACAGCCGTTATTCCAAATTAACTTCCATAGCATCTAAACAAGCAAACTGCTATTTCAAATTAAATTCAAAATAGCGGGGTGCTTAATTCGAGTTAGTTAAACCTCATTCTATGAGGAATAATGCCTAACTCAAATTAGCTAATTTGGAATAAGAGCTGTGTAGATGCTTATTCTGAAATAAGGGGCCTCCGGCCTTCCCAGTTTCCCCTGGTAGCCACTCTGGGCCAAAACAAGAAAACTCTTCTCCCTTCCCCCAGCCCCAGAGACCTTAAAAGGGGCAGATTCTGGCCACACTGCCTGTGCCAGCTCCAAGCCTGCTGGCCCAGAGCCAGTAGTCACTGCCCCAACCCAGTGGCCCCAAAACATAAGCCAGCAAGCCTCTGGCAGCCAGCACTCCAGTGCACCCCAGGAGCAGTCTGCCAGCTCCTAGGATCCTGACAGGACCTGGAGAAGGCGGGTGCCTTTCTGGTCCAGGGTGGAGATCAGGGTGGACCGTACTCAGGTTTGGGGGGATGCCCCCAATGTCCATGATCTCCGCACTAGACAGAGGAATGCAGCCCATCTTGGCCACCAAAGGCCACATGCGAACCCAGGAGCAGGTTTGCATGAAAATCAAGTTGGTCCAGCAAGACCCCCAACCTTGAACTTCTCCTGTCCCTTCCTCCCCTTGCCTCTCTCTTCCAGCTTCCTCCTCACAGGTTTCCCCCTCCCCTCTCCCAGCCTCATTCCCACCCCAGTTTCGGTCAATAAAGAGAGTTTGTTTTTGGCAAGAAATGTGTTTTCATTTGACATCAGGAAAGGGGGTTAGGGAAGGGTAAGTGGAAGGAGGGAGGAATGAGGCACAAGCCTTCTGTGGGGCACACCAGGGAGGCTCTTAGTGCTCCTCAGGGTAGAAGCTCTCCTGAAGGGCCTCCTGGATACTGACAACCCCTCGATGGACCTCCGGGATGGAAGCCTGTTGAAAGTGCAGCCAGGCTCACAGCAACACGTCCACGAGAAGCACCAGAGTTCCCAGGGGCAGCTCCGGCTCCATGTTGCAGAGTGCTGTGGTGTCCCGAGTGAAGGCAACTAGAACACGCAGAGACACAAATGCTTTTCGGTCCCTCATCAAGGCAGGCAAGCAAGCAGGGACACCTGAGAACTGGCTGCCCGGAGGGCGGAGAGATGTCCCTTTAAGCACAGGCATCAGATAGCCTCAGGCAGTAGCCACACACAGACACTCCTGACCTAATGCCCTGCTTGACCTGGTTCTGGCTAGCCTTAAATCTGATTCTGTGTCCAGTCAGTGTGCATGAAGTATTTTGAATTAGCAAAATGCTAATTCAGACTGCATTTTGTGTGTAGATGCATTAATACGAATTAGGTTAATTCCAATTAACTATTTCGAATTAAGATAACTCGAATTAATGCTGTAGTGTAGACATACCCAGTAAGGATATCTTCACTGTTTGGGGATGTTTTTTGATTTGTGTTTGTGGGTTTTAAAAAAAAAACTTGTTCCTATCTTCTGTTTCTTTTTAAAAGCTTCTATGCAGGAATTCCAGGAGTGGTTTTCTGGTATGAAGGAAGCAGTAAAAGAGTCATCTCATAAGTCTGGGGACAGCAAAACCATAGAAGCAAAGCTACATGATTTGCAGGTAGAGTTATCAAATCAAGAGATAATAATTAGCTACTTTTGACCATTTGCATCCATGTCTTATCTAATTTAAAAATCTAACAAATCCTTTTTTCTAGAAAGAAAATATAAAAAATGGCTCCAAATAGTAATAACTTTTATTGTTCACATCCAAAAGGTGCCAACAACATGTATTTCAGCTTGTGGAATTTTTGTTCTACTAAAACTCTTCTTGCTTCCCCTCTGCAAATTTCTATATCCTATTTTCTCCTTTTCTGTCTTCCTTGTAGTCATTTCCCACTGATTATTCTTTCCTTCTCCTCTCCACTCTTTCACACTTTATTGCTCACTCCCTCCTTGAGCTATGCAATGATATGTCACAGTTGGTTTGGGTAAGTAAGCATACACATTTTCTCCTTGCTTGGAGACAGCATCCAGTTTGTTCTGTCCCTCACTAATCGAGTCCAACACTCTCTGTGTGAGAAAAGAGTACTGTTTACATGAGCAGGATTAGCCAATGGCTAAAAAGTTCAGAGCCAATGTCTAGCTGTGGAATTGATTACAATTAGATTTTATTAAAATCTATGATGGATAGAAGGCACAATGCCTTTCTGTTCCCAATACATCTCCATTCATTTCTTCCTGCTTTACAAAAAATTCAAGACTAGGGTCATACATTTCAGAGATTAGGATTATTTACAAGAATTAAAATAGTTTTTGCCCAATTTGTGCTCTTTTCCATTACAGATCATATCAAGGAAATCCTAATGGCTACGTCTAGACTACATCCCTTTTTCGAAAAAGGGATGTAGTCTAGACGTAGCCATTAGGATTTCCTTGATATGATCTGTAATGGAAAAGAGCACAAATTGGGCAAAAACTATTTTAATTCTTGTAAATAATCCTAATCTCTGAAATGTATGACCCTAGTCTTGAATTTTTTGTAAAGCAGGAAGAAATGAATGGAGATGTATTGGGAACAGAAAGGCATTGTGCCTTCTATCCATCATAGATTTTAATAAAATCTAATTGTAATCAATTCCACAGCTAGACATTGGCTCTGAACTTTTTAGCCATTGGCTAATCCTGCTCATGTAAACAGTACTCTTTTCTCACACAGAGAGTGTTGGACTCGATTAGTGAGGGACAGAACAAACTGGATGCTGTCTCCAAGCAAGGAGAAAATGTGTATGCTTACTTACCCAAACCAACTGTGAGCAGTATCCAGGAGCAGGTAGCAAAGTCACACCAGCAGTTCCAGGGGTTCCTGAAACAATGCCTGAAAGATAAAGAGGCTCTAGAACACTGTGCCTTAGAACTGGGAAGGTGAGTTATTTCAACAGAAACAGATGTGGTGCAGACATTTATTACAAAATGGTTGAAGGTGGGGCACTACAGCGGATGCTGAAGTTTACAAAAGATGAGGATATAGATGATGATTTGCAATTAAAACTTGAAGTTAAAGAAATAATAACTATAGGTCTGTTCACTCCCTCTTCTGGAGATAAATTCAGAGAATCATCTCTGTGCTAATAATGTTGGGGAAACAGTTGGGCTCTGTATGTTAGATTAAACAAACTCAAAACCCAAAGACTCAAAGTATTTATTAGCTCAGAATATGTTTACTGCTTAAGTCACAGGAAGAGTATTAATCAGTAGTTGGATGAAACAGCAAGATGAGATCAGACAGAAATGTTGTGTGTGCCTGCATGTGCATTAAACTAAGATTTTAAACATCAGAAACTAAAGTAGACTCCTAAATCCGTGGCCTCATTTTTCAGAAGTGCTGATAACTTGGAAAGTCCTGTTAAATCTCAATGGGATCTGATGGATGCACAATACTTTTTAAAATCTGGACACTTATTTATGTGCCTAAGCTTGATTTTAAGAGCCTAATTTTAGACATATTTTTTCCTTAAATCTTGGGTTGAATTATAATTACAAGCAGGATTTGGAGAGACTTTTTTTTTAGCTACCTTATCTTTACTGAACATAGTAATAAATTCAAACACTGTCACTTTAAATTTTGAAAGGTTCTTTTCCCAGTGTAATTCCCATGATCTTGCTAAATATTTTTAGAGCCTTGCTGAATATTTTTAGATTACTTGTCAGTGCAGAAGTATGTTGTATGTGGAGCTCTCATTCAATAAAAGTTACTTTTCCTACTCAGCTGGATATGCATTGTGCTTTATAAACTCAATAGGATTCTTGCACACCTAGGAATTGATCATAAAGGGATACTTTTCTGTTCTGTAGCTTTGAGGATCAGCACAAAAAACTGACCCTGTGGATCCATGAAATGGAGGAAAGAATAAATACAGAAATACTAGGAGAGAGCAAACACCAAATCCCTGAGAAGAAAAATGAGGTGCAGAAATTGGAAAAGTTTCTTGAAGAATTACTGGCTGCAAGGTATAAAAAAAATGTGTTTTCTAATGTCCTGTTGCCAGCATTATTTATTCCTTCTGGTCAGCCACAGTTAAATTGAACTGATTCGTAGGATGAGAGAAGTGTTGGAGGATGCAGTTAGTCAAAGGAACAGGTTACTAGACGTTGTGTCCACACAGCTCCAAACTGGAGAAATTTGAATTTGAATCTCAATCTAAAGTCAATGGCTTAGGCTCCTTTTTATTTAAGGGGAAGTTGAAGTACCTTTGTTTGCAAAGATTGTCTGCACAGCATTACAGCACAGCTACCTCAGCTTTAGCAATGTGTTTTATGTCTCCCAAAAGTCACACTAATAGTAATATTCATCACATTGTCCATTTAAAACATGCTTTATTTTCTTTCCTCTGTCCCATGGCATTCAGTTCCACTTAGGTTGCATGCTGTTTTGCTGCCCACTGTGCAGTATACCCATAACACGTCTTAGCCTTGGAATCTTACTTGAGCTGGGAATCAGCCAGTGGGTAATGAGATAATTGCCATTTTTAGTATACTGCGTAGTTGTGCAAACAGTTTATAGTTTGTAGGAAAAGGTAGAAACATATTATTCAGTTGTTTTGCTAAACCTCATCGTGTACTGTATATAAGATGGCACTTACCCAATCCTTAACCATCAATCAGGGCTGTTCCAGTAGAGATTTTGACTGATGTGAGTTCAACACAGTGCAAACAGGAACAAGAAGGAGGATAATCCAGGGGCTAGGCATTAGTTTAAGATTTGAGAGACCTGGACTCAGTTTTCTGTTCTGTGACAGATTTCCTGTGTGTCCTTGGGCAAGTCACTTAGCTCTGGTTTCTAATGTGTTTATTTCTCCAGGAAAAATGGCAATAATGATATTGCCTAACCAGGGATGAGAGAAGGGGGGTTGAGGATAAATTCATTAAAGGTTGTAAAGTGCTCTGATACTATCATAATGGCAGCTAGATAAATATTTAAGATAGAGTACATATTGGAGAGGGAATTGGCAATATCAGTAGAGATGGATGTCATGGGAAACAGAATTAGATTTCAATTAGAACATGCTAATTGCTGCTTTTAGCTTAATTACTATTGACACCAAATAGTTATTGTGAACGCAATAGTGTAGGCCCTCATTAAGGCTATTTGTTATTTTAAATCAATATATGCTTCTCATACTATACATTCAAATTTGTCTTTGTTCAGATGACTTCCCTGAAAACATGAGTTGTCTAACTCCAGCCAAATTTGGTTATATTGTCAGTATTAAGTAATTTTCTGTACTCACAATGGCAGTCACAATTCAAGTGGTTTCTAAAATTAATTGTCAATCCCAAATCTTTCTTTTAGAGAATCCTTTGATAAACTTTCCCAGCGGGCACAAGCTTTAAATGAAGAAGGACATGGTGCTGGGAGTGAAGTACGTCAGGCTTCTCAAAACCTCACCAGCTATCAAAACCTAGTCAAAACGGTCAAGGAGAAGTTGCGAACATGTCAGGTTGCACTCCAGGAGCATCAATCCTTGGAGGACGCGCTGCAGAGTATGTGGTCCTGGGTGAAAGATGTTCAAGAAAAGCTGGCTTCTGCAGAGAGCACAGTTGGCAGCAAAGTCACGTTAGAGAGGCAGCTGATGCAAATTCAGGTAAAGCACAGGGCTACATGAACCAGCACATCAGAGTTAAAATTGCATTACAATTAAATTCATGAAAACTGAGGGATTTTCCCTTCCAAAGTTGGAGGCTTTAGCTGCTTATTATCTGCTACAAATAGGTAAATGCCTTAGCGTTAATGGACGCTTGGTTTTATACTTTGTTGCTACAGCATGTCTATATACATAAATGGAGATACAAGATGGCTGAGGTAATATTTTTCAGTAGACCAACTTTTCTTGGTGAAAGATCAGAAAGTATGGTCCAGGTTGACAACGGAAGTATGGTGCAGAAGGGTTAAAGGCGCTAAATGATGATGGTGAATATTGCTGGAGGAGAGGCGCTTGAAGGTTTCCTTTATGTTTCCTGGGTGGTTGGATTTGATACATGTTTCATTCTTTTTGCTGCACAGGAGATCCTTTTAATGAAAGGTGAAGGTGAAGTTAAGTTGAACATGGCCATTGGAAAAGGTGAACAAGCCCTTAGAAGCAGTAATGAGGAAGGGCAGAAGGTGATACAGACTCAGCTACAAACGTTAAAGGATGTATGGAGTGATATCACCAACACTTCCATGAACTGTCAGAGGTAATTCACTGTGTTTGCCTTTAAACATAGGACCAGATTCTAACATCCTTTCTCCCTTACACTGAGCACTTTATACTGCAAGTACTTCCACCGATGACTACTTGAAATATAATGTGCTTCTCCAAGCACCTAATGCTGGAAGAATCTGACCCAGAATAAAATATAATTTAGAAGTGCTTACTTGAGGAAAAAACACAAAAAGATAATGCAGTGGTTGCACTTGAGTTCAGAGTTCAGTATAAATTGGTCACTGAAAAATACTTCCCTCAATAAAAAATACTCTCAGGGTATGTCTACACTACCCTCCTAGTTCAAACTGATTTGAATTTCCCGGGCTTCATTTGCATAAGCGGGGAGCCGCCATTTTTAAAACCCCGCTGGTTCGAACCCCGTGCAGCGCGGCTACACGGGGCTCGAACTAGGTAGTTCGGACTAGGATTCCTATTCCGATCTACCGGTACACCTAGAATAGGAATCCTAGTCCGAACTACCTAGTTCGAGCCCCGAACGAGCAGGGATTTAAAAATGGCGGCGCCCAGTTTATGCAAATGAAGCCCGGGAAATTCAAATCCCGGGCTTCATTTGCAAGTGCGGTATGCCTACATTACCCCGCTAGTTCGAACTAGCGGGGTAGTGTAGACATACCCTCAGAGTTCAGTGTGTTTTGTACACTTGACACAGAGGACTAGGAGTTAGTAGTCAAAAATTGTCAGTTTTGCAGTAATTAGCTGGTGCACTTTTTATTATTATTTTAAGAGGAGTGTTTCCTATTCAGGAGTTGGGATTAAGGTACATTGGATTAAGGTTGGGATAAAGGTACATTCATGTGAAACCTGTTGAGTACCTACTTGTATGGAGTTAGGTGGATAACTTTGATTATCTCATTTATAAACACTCGTCCCACGATTCCAGAACTCTGGAAATCTGGAAATGTACTCATGTAAATTTCCATGTTGATTCTGTAACTAAAATCACCCAAGTTTATGCCTGTTCCAAATGACATAAACTTGGGGTGAATTCCTGGCCTTTTACTTAAGAACATAGGAATGGCCGTACTGGATCAGATCAATGGCCCAGCTAGCCCAGGATCCTGTCTTCCAAGAGTGGCCAGTGCCAGGTATTTCAAAGGGAATGAACAGAACAAGCAATCAAGGCATTGATTCTCTGTTGTCGATGCCTAACTTCTGGCAAACAGAGGCTAAGGACACTGCGGACCATGGTTTTGCATCCCTGTCCATTGTGGCTAATTGTTCTAGTTCTTTTTTGAAACCTGTTATAGTCTTGGCCTTTACAACATCATTTGGCAAGGAGCTCCATAGGTTGGTTGTGTGAAAAAATACTTTTGTTTGTTTGTTTTAAACATGTTGCCTATTAATTTAAAATCTGTGGCAAAGCTTCCTTTTATTGGAGCCAGTCTTCATCTCCGGACACGTGGCTATGGAAAGTCTGCTGGAGAAAATTGATATAATGAAAGAGTTCATCCCAATAGCTTATCTGCTATTATTTGGAAAATAAGTAAACAATATAAAATATGATTTATTTGGTCTTCTGAAAATTGTCAGTTTTTTAAAAATTATTTAAAAGATGCACTTTTTAATATTGTTTTTGAGAATAAGCTGTGTTATCTCTCATTATACAGAACATCAGCAAGGATCTGTGTTTTGCTTTGCTGGATAGACATTGCCAGATTTCAGTCGATAGTGAAGATGTCCAAAATAACAATGGAAAGGATCAGTTTTGCTAAAAAGAGATCCAGAAAATATTTTCAAAAACAACACAGACCTACATCACATTTATTAGGGCATAAGTTTTCATGCGTAAAACCCACTTCATGAGACAAATTGGAGTGAAAGTTACAGAAGCAGGAGTATATATAAGGAAGAAGTTACTTATGTAAATGCAAGAGACTTCTTCCTTACATATACTCCTACTTCTTTAACTTTCACTCCAACTCATCTAATGAAATGGGTTTTACCCATGAAAGCTTATTCTCTAATAAATCTGTCAGGGTACATCTACACAGCAGCGCTGTTTTGAGATAAAATGCACACAATGCTATTTTGGGATAACGAATGTTAACAGCATGCCTGTTATTTCAAAATAATTTTGAAATAAACAGCAGCTTATTCCAGCTTCCTTTAAACCTTGTTGTGCGAGGAATAAGGAAGATGCTGGAATAGCACTCTATTTAGAAATTTGGCGCTGCATAGACAGTGCCAAATTTCAAAATAGGTTATCTCAAAATAAGCTACACGATTTGTGTAGCTCAAATTGCATTGCTTATTTCGAGCTATACGCAACTGTGTAGATGTACCCTAAGCCTCTAAGTGTTTGTCTACACTAGGAAATTATTTCAAAATAACTTATTTTGAAATAATAAGTTCCAAAATAACTATTTCAAAATAGCATTTCCACAATACAGAGAAACCTCAAAATTAGTCTGTGGCAGGCTTCCTTAATGTGGACGTGCTACCTCAACTTAGAGCCCCAGGAAGGACTGGGGAGTAATTTACTTTGACTCTGGGGAGTAATTATTTCGAAATAGCAGCAGAGGCGCATCCATACGAACTCTATTTCAAAATTACTATTTCAATTAAGCATTATTCCTCATGGAAAACAGAAGTTGTAACCAGCCCCTTATTTCAAAATAACAGGCTTGGCAGTTTGGAAGCTCTGCTTCTTATTTCAAATTAAGGGGATAAGGAGATTTTGAAATAATTCCCTAGTGTCGACCAAGCCAAAGGTGCCACAGAACTCCTCATTTCTGCAGATATAGACTAACACGGCTACCCTTCAGAAAAAACATTTGGAAGAGAACATGCATTCTAAATATATGATACATGTGTATAATAAGAACTGTAAAAGTTTGGGGTTTTTTTTGCCAGGAAGTAAAATATTGATAGTTTGTGAAGTGTACAGTAAATTAAAAGATTTCTGCTCATTTAAGATATTTACCAGTTGTGCTGGTATTCTGTACTTTAACGTATGAAATCTCTCAGACCAGTAGAGTCTTTCTAATCAGAAGAATTGCTTAAAGTGTAATTGCTATAATCAGTGAAATTATGAAGAGTTGATTTGGGCTATAACAATATCACCATACCAGTAAAACAGTGAATGAAAATTCTTTGATTGAACTTCTCTGTATTAGGGCTGTTTTGTATTGATATTCTGAAAATATGTTTGTGAAAATTTTCACCATTGAATTTCTCTCAGTTTTACTCTTTCAAAATACTACTTTCATGATCTTTTACTAAAAGACCAATTACATACTGAGCAGCATCTGTCAGTGTGCTAGATCATAGGAATCCTTGCTCTTCTTGGTAGCACTTATTCCATGGGGCTCCTCTGGTGAGTATTGTACTGCCACTTAATTGGTTTTCCTTAAGGCCTACAAGACCTCTGACCTGTATTGTATCTGTGTCTTTAATATAAGCTGTTTGGAGTCTGTGATTAACCAGTGGAATGACCATTTGGAGAGGAAAAGCCAGCTGGACCAGTGGTTGGAGTCAGTGGATTACAAAATAGAACAGCCTTTACAGATGCAGATTGGTCTGAAAGAGAAGTTTTCTCAATTGGATTACTTCCAGGCTATTGTTTCTGATATAGAGGATCATTCTAGTGACCTGCATCGATTTACTGAAAAAGCCAAGGAACTATATGAGAAAACTGAGGATGCTTCTTTCAGGGAAGCAGCTGAAGAGGAACTGAAAACACAGTTTAGTGACATTACTACTGTGGCCAAGGTAAATGCCTTGTAGGAGAAGGCAAACTTTTACATATTTGTTTTAATGAATGAGCTTTTGCTGATTTCAGTTACTTTCAAATAATGAACATATTTACACATGCTTATATGAATCAACGTAGATTCATAGAACTAGTTTCTTATTTAATACAATATTTCATTTTTTTCTTCCTATCCTGAAGCTACATAATGTTGCAGCACAACTGACATGTTTCATCACTGTGAGGCTGATGTTTAGTGGTCAGTGAATAACCTATATATAGTTATTGCCTTATATACCATAAATGGAAAGAGACATGCTTGTCTGAAAGAATACTTCTCTCTCCCCATACCATCATGCTTCAGTTGCAGTCAGCAGAAGTAATTAAATTGGAATTTACTCAATATAATAAAGAAGGGCTGACAGTGTAGCATTCTAATAAGGGTAGGCTTAGAATGATGAGAAATGTATTGGTAAATGTTGATAGACTCACCATGCACATTCAAACCAATGAAAACATGTTTCCATGGTTAATCATAGAAATTTACACATGGGCGAAGTAAGAACAAATGCTGATTGAGAACTTTTTAGTTGGATTTAAGGATATTTTCTTTGTATATTTTGACATGTGATTCTGACAATTTGTGTTGTTAAAATGCTTTAACTTGATGAATCTCGGCATATACTCTCACTAAATAGTTATGTCTCACCACCCGTAACTTCGCACAACTGAAAATTTAAATCAATAAAAAAAATAAAAATGCTTTAAACTTTATAATTTTGCCCAATAAAAACAGAATATATGCTTAAATTGAATTTTGCCAACCTATATAAAAGCCTGTACTGTATATGGTATATTTTTAGTAAGGCTTTAGATACAGGCTCGCATGATCTTATCATAAATAAACTAAGAAAATACAATTTAGATGGAACTACTATAAGGTGGGTGGATAATTGTGGAAAATAATGCCCAGTTTTTCCCAAATTATTCCCAACTGGGCACCCAGCCCCTAAAAGGCTCCCGGCCACTGACGCGTCACCGAGACTCTGTGATCCAAGAACATTCCTGGTCCAGCAGAACCACAGATATTGCTGGACCAGAGAGTCCCAGTTTAGAGAGGTTCAACCTCTATAGAGCTTGTAAGGCAAACATTAAAAATAATACTTTGGAGGTAGCCCTGCAATCAGTGTGCAACACAGCATCACAAACTGAAGGAAAGGGGAGACTAAAGATTATGCTCTGTGCAATCTAGGCTAGAGAGTGGGCCACATGAGTGTCCCTCCTTCATCTCAGTGGGCTACATGGCTGTTATAACCAAGTGTAGCTTTGCTAACTGCATTTTTACGTACCTAGAATTCACAGAGGGTGCTGACTGCATCCAATCAAAGCGCTGCTACCATGCAGAGGGAGCGTCTGGGTCTCACATTCAAAGTGTGCAATCAGCACGTCCCTCACTTTATGTAACCTTACTTTACATGTATCACTTCAGTCATACCAATAGGAAAAAACCCTATGTGGATGGAAACCTGCGGAATCTGGCAATAATGCATGTGGGCATTGGGAATCAAAATGTCTTGTGGGAAAACATAGAACCCCAAAGAGTCACATGTAGCCCACAGGGCACAGGTTGACCACCACTACCTTAAGTATACAAATGAGTCTGTTTTCCATGTGATTGATAGGAGAAAATGAGGAAAGCCGAAGATATTGTGAAGGACCATTTGCTGTACCTTGATGCTGTGCATGAATTCACAGACTGGCTCCATTCTGCAAAGGAAGAACTGCACCGCTGGTCAGATGCATCTGGAGATACATCAGCCATACAGAAAAAACTCGCTAAAATTAATGTAAGAAACTGGACTCGTTTTACTTGTAACTTTGTCTCTGTGCATTGAAACAGATGTGCTGCAGGATCTCAAAATGCTGTTTCCCTTTATCAGTTTGAAATGGTTGTTACTTTTCACTGAGATTGCACTTGCTATGCCAAATTCTCTTCTCAGTTCCTATAGTTTAAGTGAAACTAAAACAGAAGGCTTTAATCATAGATACACACTGGAAGCAGCACCATCTCAGGGGATTGAAAGAGCAATTGTGCCTTAATGCAGAGATTTTCAGCTTTTTTCTTTCTGCTCTCCCTTCCCTACATGCTATAAAAACTCAATGTCCCACCTGTGCCACAGCAATTGTTTTCTCAATATAAAACCCTGGGCTAGCACTAAGAGTTAGGAAGCAGAGCAGTTGTCTAGGGCCCCACATCATGGGGAGCAACAGGAAGCTAAGTTGCTGAAGAATCAGCTTCACCTCTGGTGCTGGGGTCAAAGGCTACAGTCCCATGCAGTGTCAGCTTTCTGGTCTAGGTCTGGGCAAGTCTAATGATGGACGTGCTTGGTAGACCCCAAAAACCTGCTCACAGACCCCTGGTTGTGAGCCACTGCCTTAATGGGCCAATTCATAGGCTGCACAAACTTGGTCCTCCAAGTATATCTGCTCCATCTGAACGGCAAGGAAACAGGTAAGGGTAAGACCCTCATCTTCTACTACACCTGTTCTTGTCCTGTTAGGCCATCATGTGCCGTGGGATGCACAGAGAGAGATTGATCCTGGCCCTTCTCCAAGCACTGGAAAGGTGCTGATGCCTAGGACCCTTAGAGTGAGTTTCCTTGCACATTCCCTGCTCCCCTTATATCTCTGAGGGTCTGTCACTATGGGTGCATCTACACAGCAGCATTATTTCAGAATAATGGCCGTTATTCAGAAATAACAACATGAGCATCTACACAGGAATTCTGTTATTTCTAAATAATTTTGAAATAATGGACAGCTTATTCCAACTTCAGTAAACTCATTCCATGAAGAATAATGCCTATTCCGAAATAGCTATTTTGAAATAGCTGTAGTGTGGATGCTCCACTGCTGCTATTTTGAAATAACTCCTCCCCAGAGCTATTCAAAGTGATTACTCCGCAGTGCCTCCTGGGGCTCTCAATTGAGGTAGCACGTCCACATTAAGGAAGCCTTCCTCGGATTAATTTTGAGGTTTCCCTGTAGTGTAGACGTGCTATTTCAAAATAAGCGATTGTGGAGTATTTTGTTCCAGAATTTTTGCATCAAATTTAGCATGCAGTGTAGATGTATCCTATGTGTTTATATACTCTAAAGTGAATTATGTATCCCTTCATGCAGAACAAGAGCAGAGTTCACATATATTTGCTGTCAAAACATTTCACTACAGAGAGCTGTTTTATATAATTGCATTAAGTGTAGGTCTCTGATCTGGTGGGTAGGTTTGCAGACTGATATTAAAGTGTCCTGAGTTCAGTTCCCACCACAGTTATAGCCTTTTAGTGCCATTTAATCTACCCTGTGCCTCAGTTCCCCAACTCTAAAATGCGGAGAGGATAAATAAATGGATGATGGGAGCACTCAAGTGCTATTGGAATTGTGTGTAGGGGTATAAAATCAGTTAACCAGTTAAACGTTAAGTTAACCTAATGTTTAACTGATTAAGAGGGATCAGGGTGGGGGACCAGTCTAACCTGGCTGGAGTAGCTCCTGCTCCCAGCCCATGCACTGGGGCTAGCTGCTGGCTCCCATCCCCCATGTGGAGGTTGGAATTGCTGCTGGCTCTTGGCGTCTATCCATCACCGGAGCAGCCCCTGTCTGCGGCAGGCCCCCTGTGTGGCTGGAGGTGCCCCCCTGCTCATAGCAGCCAGGGAGATGCTTCAACCCCCACTGGTTACCAGTTAACCTTTCACATCCCTAGTTGCATGCTGTCTAGATGACAATATAGTGAGCTGCTTCTTCCATGCTGTATTCTCCCAGGATGTAAAGCTCTTTTATAGTTCCTATGACAGTTTGTGATCTCACATTTATGTATGAAATCAAAATATGACACAATGTGGAAAGCAAGATATTGTGCTGCCAATAATGGTGCCTCACAAATTATGGACAGAATAGCAAAGTACTACTTCTGCACATCAGATTTCTGTTTACGTGGCCTTAAAATCATTGATAACAGCTACACACTAGCATTTATTGTACTTAAAGAGAACAAATTTTTCCTGTCTTAATCTAAAGATGCTACTTGGTATTATCTATGGCTATGTCTAGACTGCATTGCTTTTTCAGGATACTGGAGGGATGCAGCCAGGGAACATGTCCACTTTTTCAAAAAAAATTTCAAAAGAACGGATGAGCTATTTCACCATCCCTGTAAACCTCGTTCTACAAGGAATAAGAGATGGCTCAAAAGAGCACTTTCTTTTGCAAATTGGCACCTTGTGGACATGCCAGATTTCAAAAGAGCCTCTTTCAAAAGTAAATCGAAAAAAGATTCGCAATTTGCGTACTGCAAATCGCGTATCTTTTTCTGATATAACAGTGCAGTGTAGACGTAGCCTAAGAAAAGTTATTTTTCTCCGTGTCTTGTGAAAGTTTAAGAGTATCCTATTTGAGTCACTCCGTTTAAAGGATCATCTACTTTATTTTAATTTTATTTTAACCTTTCATACATTTTTAGTTGCCATGTATTGTGAAATTATTTTTGTTGAAACTGCTGCTTTGTTCACCATGAAATGCTGGCTGTTACTTCCTAGTAGAATGTGCTGTCCTCCATTTGTAAGTGTTCAGATTTCCAGCTGTAGTGAATCACAGCACTTTCAGTTACCATGGCAATGTTCCATTGCAGGAGCTGATAGATTCCAGACAGATTGGTGCAAACCGCCTAAGCAGAGTTGAGACACTGGCTCCTGCAGTGAAACAGAACACAACTCCCAGTGGGTGTGAATTGCTAGATGCGGAGATGCAGGCCTTGCAGTCCGACTGGAAGCAGTGGGAGGAGAGCATTTTTCAAACGCAAAAGAACTTGGAGGATATAGTTAGCCAAATGGCCCTGTCCGAGCAGGAGTTCACAGCACAGGTTGCTCAGCTGGAAAAGGCCCTGGAGCAGTTCACCACACTTCTTGCATCCTGCTCTCAAAAGCTGACCCTCCTGGATGGCAAGCAAACTGATAAAGAAATAATTGAATGCTGGCACCAAGAAAAAGTAAGGCCACTTTCTGCTTCTTTAATCTTTTTTGGTTATAAATATCTAAGTACTCTGTGCAAGCAAACTTCTTCCCAATGACTGTAATACGCATGAATGGGAAAAATGGAAAGATTTGAAATACATTTTAAAATATAAAATTCAAAGCTGAAATCTCTAGTAATGACTTTGTAAATTTTTTTAAAAAGAAGTCACAGTAGGTTGTGTATTTATAAAGACATTTCTCTTTGGCCTCCATTGTAAAGGCATAATTTATGTTTCTCAGCTCTCCCAACACTGAAAACGGGGCCTCTCAGAAGAGGCAGAAACCAGTGAATGCTAGTTTTCAGTTTTCTTTCCAACTCCTTCAGTATTTCAAGCCATAAATGCACAATTGCAGAGAGGGGTAATACGTGTGGTTTTTCACAAGGTCAGATAGCCATCAGAGGTATATGTTTCCTTGTATTTAATCCTTGCTTTTTGCCAGTTTATTCTTCTCATTTCTCAGAACATCTTGGCATTGTGCATTATACCATTTTGACATATATTTAGAAAAGAGGTATTAGAAACTATTATCTACTTGTCAACCAACCTCTTAACTGGCTTAGCAGTACTACTTCATGACAGAGGGAGGTAGTCAAAATGCTTTCTCCTTCTTACTTATCTCCACATGGATATTCTGCAGAAGAGGCAAAAAGGTTCCTGTAATATTACAACTAGGGATGTGCATGGGTAACCAGTTAACTAGTAAGCATCGCCCATAAAGGGTGATGCTTACTGGATAATGGTTAACTGCAGCACCCCCCTTTAATCAGATAGCTGGTTAAACTTAATATTTAAACTGTTAACTAATTAAATGGGATTTTACATCCCTAATTACAGCTGTGAATCATATATGCCACAACAAGGTTGCAGAATGTTTTACTTTCTGCTGGCTAGTCCCAGTATAGTTAGAGAACCATATAATACTTCACTGAATGTTTGAAATGTTCTAAAACTCTCAGTAGGCAGGATTCAGTACATAGCACTAGGTCTGATGAGGTTGTAATACCACTTTCCATGTTATGGTTGTAAATATGAAAAATTCCCCTTGGCTAATACTATTTTAACCTGTTTTATTATTAACACACACACAGTAATTACAAGACATTTGTACCTAAATTAAACATTAAACTTCTTAAAATCTCAAGAGATTTAAAAATGTTTCTTTTTTGTTAATATTTATACTGTGTACAAATTGAAGCTGAATGTAATACTTGTATAATATTCTTGCTCTTTTAACAAATGTGCGGACTGCCAATAATATGTAGAGTGCAGAAAAAATAAATGTTTACTCTGTATGCCTCTACTTTGTAATCTAATTTATAGTAAAAAAATAGAAAGCTGTGTAAAAAAAAAGTAAGTGTTAAGGAAAATAATGTGGACAAAGGTGAATTAGTGGATATAATGTACTTAGACTTTCAGAAAACCTCTGACCAGACCCCTCACCAAAGGATCGTAAGATGAGTAAAAGCAGTCATGAAATACAAGGGAACTTAGGGAAGGTCCTCTTATGGGTCTGTAATTGGTTAAAAGATGGAAGACAAAGGGTAGGAATAAGTAGTCAATTTTCAGAATGGGGAGAGATAAATAATGGAATCCCCTAAGGATCTCAACTGGGACCTGGACTGTTCAGTTTACTAATAAATGATATGGAAAAAGGGGAAAATAGTGAGGTGACAAAATTTATAAACAATACAAAACTACATGATAGTTAAGCCCAAAGCAGATTGTGAAGGTTTACGAAGTGATCTCAAAACTGGGTGTGAGAGGAACAAAATGGCAGATGAAATTTAATTCTGATAAATGCAAAGTAACACAGGTTGGAAACATAATCCCAACTATGCATACAAAATGATGGGATCTAAATTAGCTGTTATACTCAGAAAAGAGATCTTAAAGTAATCATAAATGGTTTTCTGAAAATAGCTGCTGTATGTGCAGTGACAGTCATAAAAGATAACTGAATGTTAAGAAACATTAAAAAAGGGATAAATAATAAGACAGTAAATATCATACTTTGCCCCATATAATATGTTCAAACTTTGAATATTGTATGCAGTTCTGATTACTCCATCTCATAAAGATATATTAGAAATGGAAACTGTACAGAGAAGGGCAACAGAAATGATTATGGAGTTTTCATACGGGGAGAGATTAAAAACACTGTTTCTGTTTGGCATAAAGACGACTAAGAGAGATATGATACAAGTCTACCAAATCATGAGCACTGTGGAGAAAGTGAATAAGGAAGTATTGTTTACTCCTCCATATAATATAAGAACTGGGAGTCATCCAATGAAACTAATAGGCAACTGGTTTAAGAAAATTCCACAAGAAGTACTTTTTTACTTAATGCATAGTTGAGCAATGGCTCTCATTGCCAGGGGATTATAGAGATGGCTAAAAAGAGCTAGATAAATTCATGGAAGATAGGTCCATCAGTGGCTATTAGCCAAGATGGCCAGGGATTTAACTTCATGTTCTGTATGCCACATCCTCTGTTTGCCAGAAGCTGGGAGTGGACAACGGAATGGGTCACTCGATGACTGCCTATTCTGTTCATTCCCCTTGAAGCACCTGGCATTGGCCATTTTTGGAAGACAGGCTACTGAACTAGATGGACCATTGACCTGATCCAGTTTGGGAATTCTTATCTTCTTAATAATGATATAGCCGTGGACAGTGAGGGAGCTGTCCTCTGGGGAGGCTAGCCGCTGACTCCCCACTTCAGCCTCTGCGCCCCCCACTCCAGGCCAGAGCCCCAAACCTCTCCTTGTAGCTGAAGTCATGAGGCCTCCTGCTGGCTCCCTTCTACTGCTAGAATCCCAAGACCCCTCACCCCATGACTCCCCGCCACTTGCCTGAAGGAGACCTGGACCAGCCATTGTTGACACCACCCCACCCTCCAGACCCTAAGGCTGTGTCTAGACTGGCACGATCTTGTGCCAAAGTGGCCACTCTTGCTCAAAAACGTGCTGCCTGTCTACACTGGCTGTGTGTTCTTGCGCTAGTAAACTGACATTCTACTGTATAAAATCAGGGCTTCTTGTGCAAGAACTATGATGCTTCCACTCAGGAATAAGCCCTTTTGCGCAACTGTTCTTGCACAAGAGGCCAGTGTAAACAGGCAACATGAATTTCTTGCTAAACAAAGCCCTATGGTTAAAATGGCCATCAGAGCTTTCTTGCGCAAGAGAGCATCTACACTGGAACGAGGTGTACCGGTAGTTTGAATTAGAGAGCCTAATTCAAACTACCTACTCCGTGCCGCGTGTAGCCGCAGGCACGGAGTCCGCACTAAGGGGGATTTAAAAATGGCGGTGCTCGGCAAGATGTAAATGAAGCCCGGGATATTTAAATCCCGGGCTTCTTTTGCAACTTCGAATGCCTACATTAGCCACCCTAGTTCGAACTAGGGTGGCAGTGTAGACATACTCATAGTTACTAGTGATAAAATAGCCTTCTTTAAAATAAAGTATTTTGGTTTAGCATTTGTAGAGAAGAGATTTTTAATCAGCTGATACCTTTGAGAATTTGTTTAGAATTTATTATTAGCTAACAAACATTCCTCTGAAGTTAAAGGGAGAACACACATTCTCTCTGGTGAATCTGAGGGTCTCTTAAAAACCCTTCCCCAGCCTGATCAGGGGACATGCTAGTGCCATTAAGACTATTCACTTTGATATGGTCCTTTGACACCCCATTCATTTTGAATGAATGGTAATCACTGGTCTTGTGGCTGTGTCTGGCCTGTGGGTTAAGGTGTTGAAACTAGGGATGTAATAGTGTAGTCAATTTACTGATTAACCGATAATCAAAAGCTTATAGATTAATACTATAGACTAAATGTACTCACCCTCTCCCTCTGCCAGTACATTTTTTAGCAGGCTGGCTAGCAGCCCTGCTCAGTCCCGGCTTGTGATGGATCCAGGACCTAGTCCTGCTGCGGTTCTGCATTTAAAGTGTATTAGGAGCCAGGTGGGCAGGCAGCCCATCTCAGTTCTAACTCACGCTGGGTCTGGGTACTCAGACCCCCTTGGGACAGGGGTTGCTGCCACCCTGCACTGCTGCCTCTGTGTCAGAGGCAGCAGTGCAGGGCGACAGGTAGCTAGTCTGCGAGGGAAATTGGTTTTTAAACTGTTCCCGCCTGGCACCCCTCTGGCACTCTGCTTCCCTCTAGAAGTCCAGTGCATATATCACTATTTGAGTGGCAAATAATTAACCTATACCAAGCACCCCACATTTATCACACATGCTGCTTATGCTTATTTACATAATTTACAGATTATTGTGTCTATTCCCTGAGGGGATGATTTAAGTAACTTCCCAAGAAAAAATATATTGCTGTTATTGAAGTCATACTTTGAAATTTGCTTTCAAAGAAATTTTGAGAAAAAACAGAATTTTCAGTATTCACATATAAACACTTTTGTTTAGGTGCCTAAGTTTGGTTTTGGGAGCCTACTTTTAGGCACCTACAGCTGAAAATACTGGCCAGATCTACCAAAAGAACCGTGCGCGACAGGAACTTTTGTAAAGAAATACTAACACTTTGCTCATCATAACATTTAAAATATTCTGTGATTATTTTATTTATTTGTTGGTTTAAAAATGTTGGTACTGAGGAACTGAACTCAATCCCATTTTTCTGAGTAATGGAACAATCTTACTTCAGCACAGCATAAACAATGTAAGGCCATCCCATCTAAATTAGCTGACAATAGTATTGAACAGTGACAGTTTCGGGTTTTTTTCACACTGTTTTTCCCCCACTAGGAAACACTGGATGCTCTAACAAAGGCAGAGCATATGACAGAAGAGCTCAAGACTCAGTTAAATGACCTTTGTAGATTTTCCAGGGATTTGAGTACCTATTCTGCAAAAGTTTCAGTGTTAATTAAAGAGTACAATAGGTAAGTATTTATCTTGTATATAATTTGTTCTTCTATAGATTGAACTTCCCAAATCCAGGACTCTCTGGTCTAGCGACATCCATGGTCCGGCAAGGTCACCGATGTTGCTGGACCAAAGAGCCCTGGGAATGGGAGCCAGCTGGGAGAACACACTGTCTGCGGAGTCACGACTGGTCCAGGGAACCTGCTGCATCAGCGGGGCCAGGTGGCATCGGGACCGATGGCGGCCAGGCAGCACTGGTTGGGAAACCTCTGGTGGCAGCGAGTCCATGCAGTGGAGTCCTGGCCAGGGAACCTGGCACTGGGGCCAGGCAGCAGCCAGGGAGTCCCAAACCTAGCAGGGAAATCCCTGGTGGCAGAAGAGCCAGCCTGACAGCTCTGCCTGGGGAACCTTAGGAAAGCCACGATGGCAGCAGGACTGGGCCACAGGAGTACGGCTGGCAGTGGCCAAGTGTCCCAAGACCGGGGAGCCCCGGGGAACCCTGAGAGGTAGCAGGATGGTGGTGACAGGCGGCCCTGGCTGGGGAAACCTGGCTGGGCCAGCATTAGCGAGGCAGTGGGAGGACAGGGAGCCCCAGCCACGAGAGCCCGATGGAGGAGAAGCTGGCAGCAGGGCAGCCAACAGGAGAGCATTAATCTCTCCTGGTCCAGAAAACTCCCTGGTCCAGGACAGCTCATGTCCCAAGGTTACTGGATCAGGGAGGTCCAACCTGTATATTATTTTGATATATGATGCCGTAAGTTAGAAATGTACAAATAAACAGTGCATTCATAATGTACCGATTGCCTTGCACCTATTAGTAATAAAGGTTGAAAAAATGTCAGTTTGTTTTTTAAGCATACACTGCGCCATAGACTCAGCTTTGAATGGATAAGAATTGTCACTGTGAATGACAAAGGATAGTCATTTGATTAGAGAAGGAGTGAGAATAACTATTGCCTGGTGATTGGGACACTCACCAAAGATTTAGGAGAATGGAATTCAAATATATACTTCAATGATTATTTAATTGTTTATACAAAGTGAAAAAGCTTCCATGGGAGTGATTGAGATAATATCCTATCAGTGGCTAGGTCACTCTTCTGCAGTATAGGAGGCCCAAGCTCTCATTCCTTTTTCACATAAAGTAGAGGAGGAAATTAAACTTGGTGCTTCAGCACTTCAAGTGAGGACTCCTAAACACTTAGCTAAGAGTTATTTGACAAGCAGAAGCATTACTACTGGCTGTTTTAAAAAAAATGTGGCTGAAACTACTTAGTGAAATGCTACTCAATTTGTGAATAGGTTCTAGTCTACCCAAATGTCATTTTTTGGTGAAGACACTGTTCATGTGGGAAAAATTCACCCTGCTCTGTCAAGGGCTGCTTCACTAATCAAATGAGCCTTTGGAAAAAGAATCTGACTCAGAGTCACAATTTCTTCCCTGCTTTTCCCTTATTCCTGGAGTAATTCAATTTCACCAGCTCTATATAGCTCTATACAATGTTCATTTTACTCCATCCTCTCTTGCCACCATTACTTCAACTCAGCTCTGCTGACTGGTATAATATGGGGGTTGAGCCAAGGCTCTGCTCACTCCAAATTTCTTGTTTGTGATTATGGGAAGTATTGCACTCTAGATCTCTGCACCACCATATCCTGCAAAACCTTTCTTCCCCCGTGGCACTGTCAGATAAGAACACAATCTAATCCTAAACAAATTCTGCAGTTGCTTGTAGTTTCAAAGTACAGTAAAACTCCATTAGTCCGGCATTCAATGCTCCAGCACTCCTGATGGCCCGGCACCATCAGGAACCCAGAAGTGCTCGGGGCAGCCAGACAATTGGAGTTGCTCTGTGCCCGGCTTCCCCGATTCAGCCGCTGCTGAAACTGACCAGCAGC